AAGCAGAGGACTTGTACCTTTGTGAATTGTATTTAACACATAGAAACTAGACCATGAATTTAAGGTAAGGTGGAGTTATGAGACATTCTTCAAGAGACACATCTACAGTTCAGAACAGCCTCAACTCGGAACTGCCCTTCATTTATACTCCTTAGTAAGTAAGTAAAAGAAGCTTCACGAATGTAGAATTAGTAGTTATCAGTTCTGTATTACTTGGTTTCCTGGACTTTGAGGCCCACTGGCAACTGGCATTAGGAAAGACCACAGCCTAAGCAATGACTAAAATGCCACTGTGGACACACTCCCCTCTCACACTAAGTAGAAGAGCTATTCACAATTATATTGAGCACATGTAAGGAATGGAATGTAGGCCAAAGAGAGTGATGGATTATTTACCTTTGGGAAAACTCCAACACTCAGAGTATAAACATAACCCTCTTCTGTAGAACATGGAAACTTTCAACAATGCAGGTGAGCAGTCAACAGGGCCTAATTGTTTTCTAGACTTTTAACTCCAATATATTACAACCCAAGATACTGAAATAACTTGCAAATAAGATTGTAATATGCTTATCACTGAACACTAGAGATTGAGAGATGTCTCAATTTACAAAAAACAAACAAACAAAAATAAGAAGAAAATATGAAACATGAATTGAAACTTCCAAGCTTTGTATTGATCTTAGTTAAGTGTGTAGAACAGGCCACCAGTGGGTGGTTTGTGAGCACTATAAAGGAGGTGGTCACAAGAAGCCAAGTGGATTCAACAAAACTAATGCATTTTGTCCCCTGTTTCTTTTGTGTTTAGGGTTATAAGCAGTTTCTTTTCTTTGGGAAAAGCATCCCCATAAAAATCAGAGGCTAATGCTAATTTAAGTAAAGAAAACTAAAGGTGATGGTTCTTTGACAGATAATCGATGTTTGGAATTAGTAAGAGTATATTGGATGCTAGTTCATTCAGATACAGGACATAAGTCCACCTTGTGCTATAGGCAAAACAAACAAAAAGAATGAAATCTGATTAAAGATAGTATTTGTTACAGTGGTATTTACAAATTTGATTTTTCCAAGTCTCAAAACATATCATTATTATTTAGAACATTAATTATAAATTTGATTTTTCATAGCATCAAAATTATTAGATCTGAAATTTTCTTGAGTTAATTTTATTATTCAAGCATCAGTCTTCAAATTTAGAAAATGTTCTGTCTTCATTTGCAGATGAGGCAAACAAGACGCATGCATTTTAAATGTAAATCAATAAATAAAAGCTGTAACTTAAAATCCAGTTCTCCTAAAGATCTATGTATTACACTCTTTATTCAATATCTGAACATGAGACTTTAACTGTATTTTCATTTATTTCTATTTTCATTAAGCTTTCTCATGCACTAACTGCAACTGTTTTCCCCCCTTACTGAGCTACCTAAGATGGTTACAAAAGGAAAAAAAAAATAATGCATAACTTGCAAATTTAAAATTCTAGGTAAGGATTGCAAATGATAATGATCAGAGGGGAAAAAAAGGAAGTGTTAGTACTTTTATATCAATTGCAGACATAAATATTTAAGATCTTTAAAATGTCTATAAATTCTTATGCAGTGAATATCACAGATTTGATCTAAGTGTTTTGAAATGAAGAAATAATATATCTAACATGCCCCTATCTCCATCCATTAGTCATTCTCTATTCCTTTGCTATGATGTTTCCTCTCCTCAGCATTTGTGATTTTCTAAAATTATACTATGTGTACTTTTATTTATTATCCATCTTCCCATTTGAATACAACTTTGTCTGGTTTGTTCACATCCAACATCTAGGTGGTGTCTGAAACACAGTAAGATTTCAATAAATATTTGCTAAAAGAATCGATTAATTTAAAATATCAAAAAACGATATATATCAAAACATGGCACATATCATATGTGATGCATAGAGTTGTTAGATGAACTACATTAATTTAACACAGGTACCTATTTGCTAGAATCCTAACTAAATATCTCTTCAGCATTTCCATTTTTTTCTGAGAAGAATGAGCAAGTCACCTTTCTCTGATTTGCAAGCTCTCTGTTTTCTAGAATACCAATAGAGAACGTTAAACCTCAAAGTGATAAAATGATGGCCTAGAAAATATCTGAATATATCCACTGTTCTCATGATAATCCTAGAAAAACATGCATTTTGTTAATAAGTAAACTTGGAAGCAGATATTTATTTAAATATACTTCCTAATTATCTCAATGAGGTCCATACATTAAATAATAGGACGGTGGGGCTAATTTCAAAATAATAGGGGTCTTTGCCTTCTAGCATGTCTAGACCTATAAAACAAAGTATGATTTGGTGTGAAAACGGGAGCGAATGTAGAGATTTGATGGAAAGAAAACAAATGCAAAGTACAAAGACTAAATTGAAGTTCAGTAGATTATTGATACAAGAGTAGAATTTAACTAAAAAATAAAATAAAACCTTAGTAACTTCATCAAATGCTTCCACAGAAGCAAAATGCTCACCTTAGTGTCTGTCTAGTCACTGTATATACCATTATCATTTACAATTGGATCCACATTAAACATTAAGTCAAAATCATTTTCTGAAAATTAGTTCCAGATTATGGCAGATGTTTTGGGTTGCATATTTTAAAAATAAACTACAAAATACAATAGTAGCCATCTGTTTCAGAATTTTCTGTTTATTGTTTTCTATGGTGTAACAGGCAAAAATAGAAACAAATAAAAGAAAACAGCTGTCATGGAAAACTTTGAAAGGCCAAAAAACTGTGCTGTTAAATCAGTAACGAAATGAACGAATTGGTCATTTTGAATAACGGGATTTGTGTTAAAATAACGGCTTTGAATTTTTTATTAAGTTGTCCAGTTACGTTGGCAATACTTTGTCTTAAGCCATTAATAGCTGAAGAATATTATAAAATCATAAAATTTATATAAACTCAATACAGCTTCCCATTGACATATATATATAAATACATATTTTTATATATACATAAATATATATATATAATGTACTGACATATATAATAAAGATTTTATTTAAAATGGCAATGAGTTGGTGGCTCTATTAATTGGCCTCTCACAACTTTACATTTGAAATGTGCTCATATTGCCAGAACTGATATTGCTGGCATTTCGGAGTAATTTCTATAAACAATAAGACTGATCTGACTGGATGGAGAAAAAACTATTTTCCTACCCCAAAGAACACTGGAAGAAAACCTTTTTTCTTCCACTGTCTTTCTACAGAATTCAGAACTCTAAGGAATGTACCTTTGTCTTCAGACCATTCCTACCTCCACTCCTGTCACATAAAACCTGCTCTTTAAGACTCATAATTTTATTCTACTCTCCACTCCATTCTTGTTAGTGTCATCAAAATGAAGTGAAGGTCCTTAATCATCCGACCGAGTTTTCTCTCCATGTTAAATCCTATCATCTGCCTGAAGAACTTTGCTGTTCCAACAAACCCAGTCCTTCAGTTTCCTGGCTTACAGATTCCATGTAACCTTCTCTTCCACTTCCAACTTGGATACCCACACCAGATTGGCACCCAGCCCTGTCACAATCCATGATTGCTCCATGTCCAAAAACAATGAGTCAGCCACTTTCTCACCACAACTGCTTCTCCTTCCACCTCACTTATTCAACCTCTCCCCACAAGCAGCACTTTGCCTTCATTAGACCACCAACTCAGTAATGCCTCTATCACAGCTCTTCCAATACAGAAGTAATCTCCTTTCTTCATTTTCCCATCATCCAGGTATAGCACGCCTAGCAAAATCCAATCATCATGAACACCTGAAACCTAAGATCTAGATTCCAAAAGTAAAACCAAATGACACATATAACAAAAAAGTTACATTGATGGAAAGAGGAGAAAAAAAAAAAAAGGCAAACCTTGATCCTACTCAGCTTTATATTCTGCCCCTCCTAACTGAGCATCTTCAAGATCCATCCCAATACATTTTTTTGTTTGCTTGTTTTCGTTCTGATTCCTGCTAGTAAATATGAGCCACAGCCTACATATATGTCTCCTGAAGAGGTAGTAGTTCCATAGAAAGACCATGTTGAGGCCTGGCTCCATCAGCTTATAAATGAATGAATGAATGAATGAATGAATGAATGAATAAATAAATAAATAAATTGTATGTATATATGTATGTAGTGAAAGATCCTGAGGAGAATAAACATCTTTTTCAAAAAATATATTTCAGATAAGGTTTTTGCCTCCATGCAGCAGGACACTACTGTCCTCTAACAAGGGGGAGGTGAGTTAGCCAGACTGGGGGATTCATGGGAATCTGTGGGTTTGTGGTTCTCAAGAGCATCTACCCAAATGTCCCCATTCCACGATTTTGTCTTTACCAGGGGATACTAGCTGGGACTATGAATCCAGTCTCTTGTAACTCTGCCACTCTCACAATCAAACTTCAGGCCTAATTTTCAGCACAGGTGGCTCTCTGGTTGCAGGAGATGAGGCTCTCTTTAAATGCTACTCTGTAAGCTCTTTAGTCTTCATGATGTACCTTGGTAGTTGGCTGCCCAGAACCTGTCATTCTTGTCTAGTGAAACTTCTGTAGCAGTTAACAACTGCAAATCATCTCCACTATTGTTATAAGAAACACTGACCCCCTCATATCTTTAACTGCTAAAGCAATCACATAAACCAGTGCCTCCTTTTTCTTCTGTGTTCCATCCTTGTTTCCTAACTACTACAATGTGAAAATTCAGTCACATAGTAAGATACAAAGGGAATATATCAATACATTGTGTATGTATTGATACAGAAAAATATTGCATTTACAATATTTTTTTAAAGCTTAGCAAATAAATTACGATTAGGTTCAGCTATATGCAACATAAAACTCAGTGTCTTAGACACACAAGTGGTTATTGTTTCATGTGCAAAGTCCAGTGGTCAGGGGTCCAAGACTAGAATAGCTGTTCCACAGATCACTAAGAGTCCTGGGCTCCTTCCTGGTTTCTGCTCTAATCATAGTGCCCCATTCTCACCACAAGAAAGAGAAAGGAGAACATACCTTCCCACTTAAAAAACACTCCTCAAAATTGCATATACCACTTCCACTTACATCTCTTTGTCCAAAACTTGGTCAGTGGCCAGGCTTCCCTGCAATGGAGGCTGTGAAATGAGGCAGACATGTGCCAGCTAAAATTCAGGGCTTCCACTGCAGGGAAACAAGAGGAGAAATAATATTAGGGGACAATTAGCAGTCTCTATTACACATAGGAATGTTTAAGAAGAAAAATGTAAGATCTAGAAAGAAATACTTTTAAATTGCCTGAGAGATACATAGGATCTGAACAAATGAAAAAGCACGTCATGTTCTTGGGTAAACAACAGGAAAATTTGCCTTGATAATCCACAAATAAGTTGTAATAGCCATGAATTTTAATGCCTCAAACACTATAACGAAAACGTGTATGAAATAAGACTGTTAAATATATGAGTAAATGACAGAAACACAGTTATAGTAAAAAAACAACCTTTGGCAGATCAAATAAATTAAAATAAGGTCACAATTATTTTTAACACTAGACTAAATGATATCCAGATGTCAGCTAAGGTCATCTTTCTGTCAAAAATAAAATTGGTAAACACCCCCATTACACATCAGGCAAAAGTTCCTCCCCACCACTTCTGGGAATTCCCATGTCTTCCCTTCTCAAAATTCCCTCCAGCCTTGTTCTTGCCCTCTCAACCTCATTAGATTCTTGCCTTCTGTTTCATTCTACTTTATTCACTGTGCATTGGCCCAGACATGGTATATAGACCCTTTTCTTCATTTATCTAACAACAGCTCACACAGGCCTTTTTGTATGTATGGTCAATGTAAGTGAAAGTTTGGGGCAGTAAAGTAGAATTACAACCCTGATGAGCAGACTATTTATACTAGACAGCCTGTTCTTAAAAGTCATTAGAATTTGGCTATCCCACCACTGTGAATTTCACCCACTTTTCTAGTAAATCTAGCTTCTTCCCTTGTCACATAGCTCTGCTTCCCCCAGGAAAAGTGCCCAAACATTTCCCTGTTGCTCTGTTTTCAGGTCTACTTCATTTTGCCTTATCTCAGAAAATAACACACACACACTCTCTCTCTTTCTCTCTCTCTCTCTCTTAAAGATAGCTCCAACAATTAGCTCAGGTAGAACGTATCAGAAGGGTTACAATATCAACGTAATGTCCATCATGCTCTATAAAGTAATACCTAATAAGTAATGATGCACTGCAGCCAGCTTGTACTAGCTCACAAGGGACATTTATGTGAGGGGTGCCTGGGTGGCTCAGTTGGTTAAGTGTCCAACTTCGGCTCAGGTCATGATCTCAATTCCTGAGTTTGAGCCCCCCTTCGGTCTCTGTGCTGTCAGCTCAGAGCCTGGAGCCTGCTTCGGATTCTGTGCCTCCCTCTCTCTCTCTCTCTCTCTCTGTCCCTTCCCCACTCATGTTCTGTCTCTTTCTCTCTCTCAAAAATAAATGTTCAAAAAAAATTTTTTAAAGACAATTATGTGGATTTCTTTCCTACTCCCCATTTACTGACTTCATATCCAGAGGTCGAAATCCACATAGTGTAAGTATTTACACCTTGGAAGTTGGAAAACACTACAAATATCATTGTTTTTGTTTCAGTTTGGGTTTTTTTCCTGTGATTTTCTGTTTTGTTTTGTTCTGTTCTTGATTTTTTGTTTGCTTATTTCGAGGTCACATTTATCAGCACAACATAGCATATACTCTAGAAAGCTCTGTATTTAATGCGTAAACAAAGATTTTTTTTACTCCCTCCTAAAAGAACCAGCTTAACCCTCCAGGGCAGAAATAAGAGCAGGGCAAGAACACTAAACAACAAGATGATTCCACTGCTTGGATTCAACACAGACCACAGGAATACAATATTCTGCCTTATTCTAGTGCATGATTTTCTCCATGCAACAATATTGAGTGGAACTGTTCAGGCAACATGGATATGCAACTGTATAATCTATTAATTTGTTACGTATACTAACCTTACTAGAGTTCAAATTTGAGGACAAAGAGAAGCTATTATATCACATCATAAAGAGAGGCTCTGGGCATCAGTATCTCCCACAAGATCTAATGAAAAACAGAAAAATCAGCCTACTATCCTCATCCAGGTCCCATCCCCACCATACCATACCCCAACCACCTATATAAGGAGTTGACTTGAGAGAAAGAAGGAAAGACTGTTGAAGTCATTGGGCTTTTGGTATATGTAGTATTCATGGGAAAATGCACTTCCACAGCACTCAAGTCAAGATGCCAGGAGGGGATTCTTTCAGAAACTGTTGAATAGAAATATTTAGTCCCTCCAGAATGAGCAAGTTGGCCTTGCATTGGGGGAATGACTATCTGCCAAGACTTGATGACTTGCCCCTACAAATTAAAGAGAGATGATAACAATAGAATGGCAAAGACATCATTTGCTCTTCTAAGGGTGTATGAATTCTTATAGATCCAAGGGACACCAGAAAAGGAACTAATCTTGAGATCTTTTAGCCAGTACCTCATCCAAGAAGGCTGCCCTCCAGGTTAAGGGACTACAGCATGGAGTCTATAATGTATACCACTGTGGATGGGAACTGGGTAGAAGAAATTAGAAGTGTGTATGCAAGAGAAGATGCCCCATGCCAGAGAAATGAACTACAGGAAGATCTCATAGGATGGTGTAAAGAACTCACACGTGAGCCTCCACTGAGAGAGTGCCTTTCACACGGAAAGGCCACCATCACCAGCCTGTCAGGATTAACCTGAGGAGCAGCATAAACCAGCACAAGCCAACAAAGAGGGAAGCACAACTCTACCTGGTTAAAACAGATAACTTTTCAGTCCATTTTTCCACTTGTCTAGATGAGAGGGTGAAATAAGGGGGTACAAGAACCGCTCGTGTTAATCTCCCACTTAAAGACCCATGAATCATGACTTTAAGAAGTGATGTGGTGAAGCAAAATTTTAGATCAAGTATGAAGGGATTTTTAAATTTGATTGGGTTGAGTTTTTAAATCGGAGAGTGTCCAAAGGTTTTGGAATGTGTCTATGATACTCTTAAAGAATGAAGTGAAGAATTTGATAAATGTTGAAAGCCCTGATTAGAGAAAAATAAAATTTCATGTTTACTCCATCCAGTTGAGATCCACCTCTTAATAAACAGTGCTTATTTGGATTTACACAAAACAAAAACAAACCCAAACCTTCCTCCTTTATTGCCTTTTTCCTCTCTCCTCACAAATCCCTTTCAATGTTCCCTCACTGTGACAGAATCTCTGTTAGTTTATTCCAGTTCATGCCACTCTTCTGGATGCTGATAGTGGCCTCTCTGAATGAAAGGCATTGAAAAGAGTTGATCTCTCATGGACCTTCTTCATGTGTGAGTTCTCCACCCTATCCTGTGACTGTTCTCTGGCCCAGGTGATCAAGTCTGTACTTCCTGGTCCCTTCCCTGCCATGTATTCATATTATGGTAAATGGCTTGGTGTCCTAGGTCATCTCATCTGGAACCAATGGAATTTTTTCCCTTTATTTAGCAATTTATTTACTTGTAAAGTAGTATTTAAACCTAAATACATATTGGCACAAACTTCTCATCATTTTACATCTCAACAAAGACAAGATGTCTCATTTCTCCCTCCAATCCCCTAAGTGCCAGCCCCAAGCTTTACCACTATTTGTCTGCGCAGTAATTTAGCTTTTCAAAAATCCAAAGATTAGATCATATGCTCTGATAAGCAAATGACCCAATAGTTTGAGTTTAACATAGAAGAATTCATAGAAGCCTTGAAAGTTCAAGCTTTCCTTTCTCCTCCCATCACAATCTGTTTTCCCAATAAAATATATACCTCATTCTTGCCTCCTCTCACTCAGAAGGTAAAGGCTGTTACAATTGTTTTATTTTGTTTTGGTTTGTTTTGAAAAAAGTTCCCCCTCCCAACATAATTAGGCATACTGGAGTATGTGAATGTAAAGACAAGAAGCCAAATTCATTCTATAAACATACTTGAACTGAGGAATTGCATCAGTAAAATATATTTTTTTAATATTTGACTTTGTGTCTCTAGGCCAGGCATGTGCTCTCCCCACCAACCTCATTGAAACCACTTCCTAATGAATTACACTTGGCCTTTGGGCACATTCACATCACTCACTTTATTTCTAAAGGTGTTTGGATTGATCTGAAACAAACGTGGAATATCTGGGTGGATGGATGGATGTTTCCCACTAACTGTGAATGTGCCTTCTTTTCAAGCATCCATAAAACATTTGTAAATATTGTTTCAAGAATGGGCAAATAAATCAGCAGAATATTAGAGACTATCTTAAAACCAATAAAATAAAAAAGATCATAATAGATAGAAAAGAAGCATTGTAAACCAATGTATATAGATGAATCACTGAAAGGTTTTGGGGAAATTATACTTTTGAGGAACATATTAAGTTGGATCATAATTTTAAACTACCATCCATTAAAATAAATTTTATTTTAAAATAAAAGCAGAAAACAGATGGGAATAATGATGTACTGATCTTGTAGTGAATAAGCACTTTCTAAATACAGAAGTAAATAGATTAGGAAGTGCTGGTTAAATTTATCTAGATAAAATTTGAGGCTCTCTGAAGAGCAGAATCTTATAAAATTGTAAGACAATTCAAACTGAGAATATTATTTATATCAATAATGACAAACACATTTAATAGTACTTAAAAAACTCACTCAATACATTAAAAACTCACTCAAACTCATAATAATGAACAAATACTATGAATATAAAAATTAGAGAAGGTAGCATATAAGTGACTAATAAAATATGAAATAAAATATGAAATATAAAATAAAATATAAAAACTTTTATATTTAGATTTAGCTAGCTGGACCCAGAGAAATCCCCATTAAAACAGAAAGAACCATTGTTTATGTTGTCTAAGTTGTCCTGTTTTAAAGATAATAGTGCTGCCATGAGTGTGGTGAGAAGGACTTCACACACATACTTATAGGGAAGGATAAACTGGTATAAACTCTCTGGAAAATAGTTCAACAACATGTACAAATATTAACAAATATATTACTGTTTAACCTGAAGGAAATAGTCACAGGTTAGAATCAAGATTTATTTTGAAAGAAGTTCATGACAGGTTATCCATAAAAGCAAATATTGGAAA